GTAGTGAATATCTTTCAAGTCCCCGTAATCTGCAGGACAACAATCAGACGAAAGTACGATGCTTCTCACTACCTCTGATCCCACCTGCACCTCTGAACGAAGCTTCAATCTGCGACGTACGTGTCAGAGGAGGAGGAGGAGGAGGAGGAGGAGGAGGAGGAGGAGGAGGAGGAGGAGGAAGAGGAGGAAGAGGAGGAGGAGGAGGATTCGTAAAGCCCTTCTTCCTCGATCAAATCACATATCTAGCTGCAATCTTTCTAGGGAAAGATTGACTCCATGTCCTCACAACAAGACAGAACATCAACATCTGACATGTATCCTTCGTTGAAGTGAAACATCAACTCCTTCTCACTCGTGTCAACTCACCGTGTATGCATTTCGTGTGAAGTTTCGCCACCCGAAGACTCGACTGCAGCCTTCTTTCCTGCGCGAAACTCTTTCGAGCGAAGAAAGTCACGTGAGATGATGGAGAAACATCAAGGAGAGGGTGAAAGCAAATGTCCAGATTGAGATGGGGAGATTGAGATGAGAAGATTAAGATTTTTGATTTTGCAGCGAACACCATCAAGTTGTGAGGACGGAGGGTAGTCTGATATGATCAGCACAGAAAAGAAAGTTTGTGAAATGCTCAGCGCAACAAGAGAACACTTCTGATATGATCATCATGACAATATGATCTATGATCATCATGACTGATATGATCATCATGACAATATGATCATCATGACGATGTGATCATTATGACAATATAATCATCATGACGATGTGATCATTATGACAATATAATCATCATGACGATATGATCATCATGACGATGTGAAGGATACTGGATGTGTTGTAGTCTCATGCTCACCGGAAGTTGCAGCTCTTGATGTCAAAGAAACTTGAGTTCATCGACAACAGTGTCTGATAACAAGCGTGAGGGTCAAAGTTGTCAAAGATCGCAGACAGACCGGCAAGAGCCTCTCAACGTAAGGACGAGACTTCTGGTCCATGGAACGATTCCTGTCCACCAGGGCGAGGAGAAGAGAGCAAGGAAAGATGAGAGATGGAAAGAGATCAGACTCAAACTTCTTCGATGACAGTTGACGTTGATTATCACCTGTCCGTGGACTCGAAGTTCCAATACCGACTGCAAGCATGAAGAGCATGAATTGCAAGAAAAAAAATCAGAAGAGGAGTTCACTACAAGAGGAGTAGTTGTTGTAGGATGAGGGAGAAAGCGGAGGAGGAGCGGGAGAGGAGGAGCGAGGAGTATGAGGAGGGTGTAGAAGGAGGAGAAGCTGAGAAAGAGGAAGAGAAGTTAAAAAGCTGCCGGTCTTCACCTGTCGCAACCATAACAGAAAATGTTGTTTTTCCTCGAATGTCCGTGGAGATCGATGAAGAGAACAATCTCTTTCTCTGATCGCATGTAACGCAAGTCAAGTAGAAACTTCATCGGATTTTGTAATGGATGTTCCTGACCTTTCGTGATCCTCTCGAGAAGAGATCTATAGTGAAAGATCGTTGGGTGAACAACATCACTGTAGGAAAAGATGAAAGTCATGGGTAGAACGCATGTCACTTCTCCTCCTCCTCCTCCTCCTCCTCCTCTTCCTCCTCCTCCTCCTCCTCCTGCTTCTGATTCTCCTTCTCATTCTTCCTCTGCTCGTGCTCACCTTGGATTTCTCCATCGCCTGCAGACATTTGAATCACTAGATCGTAACATTGAGATTGACATCACGTCCTTCCATACTAGTAACCATCATCTCTTACCACACTTTCATGTCTATCCTCCAGCACGTCATCATCTTCGCCTCTATCATCAACGACTCCATCATCATCATCATCCTCATCATCGTCATCATCATCCAGTGATGTCATCAATCACAGCAAGCACAACATAGTCATCGTCATCATCATCATCATCAGCAGCAGCAGCAAACAAAGCGTATCATAAAGGTTTGGTGACGGTCTCACCTATTGAGATCGTTTCCTCCGAGCCCGCAGCGGTAATTCCCTACAGGGCGGAAGTCAGACGAGGGAGGGGAGGGCGAGGAGGAGGCGACGATAATCATCACCTATGATCACCCCATCCGGGTTGAGCATCGGAACAATCTTGAAGATGAAAGTGTCCAAGAGGTTGTCGGCAGTCTTTCATTATCGTCAGCCCCCATCAGGAAGAGAGGAGGAGGAGATAGGAAGGGGGAGGAGACGAGGAGGCGGCAGGAAGGGGGAGGAAACGAGGAGGAGACAACTCTGTTCGCACCTCGCAGCCACTGAGCAAAAAGTCCAGCAGGCCCTTCATCATCCAGGATGAGTTCGTTTCCCCTGCCATCGGACTGGATCATCGAAACACCTCCAACCTCCTCCCTCCGTTCCTCAAACATGCACTCCCTCCTCCTCCCTCCCTCCATCTGTTACACCTACTCTTCGTCCTCCTGCCCACAACCGCCTCTTGCTGATCTCCCCATCTCACCCGGATGGACTCGGGCGCTAATCGCAATGACCTTCCTCGATCGGAGCACTTCAGGGTCTACCACTTGAGATGTCAAGGTGAGGATCTGAAAACATTCTCAGCCTCCTCCATCTCTCCAGAGCTGTCGTTGAACCTCGCAGATGTTCCCAGCCTCGGTATCGCACATCCTCTTCCTGCAGGACATGCGGGAAGTCAGGGAAAGGAGGAGACGTTTGAGCAGCAACGATGTCGCCAGACCTCCTGATCTTGCTCGCCTTGTTCGGATCTGACTGGATCTGGTCGATATGATTTCGGAGGTCTGCGGAGGAAACTCGTTGTGATGCACGGGGAAAGGAGGAGGAAGAAGAGGGATGACCTGTGAAGGTGAAGGGGTAGCAGTGAGCGATGTACACCCTGTCGCTCCATGTGAGTTGGGCAACACCAGCAGCCTCTGCTGAGAAATCACTTGTCGTCTTGATAACTGAACTTCATGGTGAAGGTCAGGGTGTAGAAGAACTTCTCCCCGTTGGCGCTTGTGCCCTCCTGTCCAGAGAGGAAACAGGAGAGTCAGAAGTCGACTAGCTGGTGACGGCGAGACCTTGTTGGCGCAGGAGGGAGCCGCTGTCTTCTTGACCTGTACGACCGAAAGAGCTCAGAAAGAGCAGACGAAAGACTGAAAGGAGATGACAGCGAAGGAAAACGAAGGGAAGTGAATGCTTGTCTATGAAAGCATCGCCTTGCCTTCTTGTCCTTTCTCTTTGTTGTGTTCGGATAGTAGCAAACGTTCTCTCCTGCTCTGTACCAACCTGACAGGAAGAACTTCAGCCGCTGGATATCTCATCCCGCAAAGATCTCGATGTCATGCTCACCGATTCCATCGCCCTCGGTCGATCGCTTCTCCGAGTACACGACAGGGAGGAGGCCGTGATTGTACAGACTGCCAATAAAGGTGTGAAGACATCTTCAACATTCGAAACATCGGCTCTGTCACCTGTCTGACTTGTAAAAGTTGATGATGTTGAACTGAGACCACATGTAAGAACTAGTGATCAACGTCCACACTGCTGCTGACAACCTTGTACGGCTGATCCTTGCGGGTGTTCGAGATGGAGAAGTAGAACCTGCGATCATGCATGTTTGACAAGCACGCAAACGGAAACTCCTCGCTCACCACTGGGTGTGCCCTCTAGTGTTGAAGTCCGTACTGAGCTCCAGATCATACTCCCACTCATTCACTCTGCATCAGCACGGAAATTTCAATGCTGGATTTTGCAGAAAGCCGCGAGAGGAAGAGCCCAAGGTCTCTTCCTTACCTCACTGCCTTCTCCAAGTTCCCGGACTCAAACCTTGACTCAAACACGAGAGTCGCATCTGGGGAAATGGTCGACCTCAATGCTTCGAGGGGAGGTGACATCATGTGTACCTTCTTCACCATTCAAGGTGTAGTATGGTTTGACATCCTGCTTCCTGACGTTCTGTCTGACGTAGACGATGTCCTGGACACCATGATCAAACCTTACACTATACCTCCCTGACAACAAACCTGCATCGTCTTCGCACTCTGATCATGCGCCCGGTTCTGCCACGACATCAGACAAGCATGCTCTGTCGCAAACAAGGGAGTCATTCACGTTTGCAACGGCAATCTCATAGAGCGAGTGATCTTTCAACCCGTTGGGGAGTTTTTGCTGCAGGACGAGCAAAGTGTTAGAAATCCCGCGAAGGCCTTCAAGTGATGTCTGCATCCCCTTACCTTCAAGCACAATCCGATAGGCTCCTTTGGAGGGCAGCGGTGGACATGCACCGGGGTCCTGAGGGAGAAGAGCTTCAGAAAAATTCGCCTCGCAAGCATCGTGATCAACGGTGAGAGCAGCTGGCTTCCGTTCCCCGTCTTGATCACCTGTCAACTTCACGTCATCCTGTGAAGGTCACGGCGGCAACCGAGCAACCCACCAGCTCGTTGTCCTCCAATTCCCCCGGCGCGTAGTAGAGCGGCCTCGGAGTCAACCCTTGGATCACTTTCTGGAGGGCGCTGGTGGGGGAATGTGAGGCTGAGAAGATCTCGAGAGAACAGATGCTGCTGTACCTGGATCCTGCTTGATTGCCATCCGGAAGGCCTTTCCAGACATGAAAGCGTCAGCAACCTGTTGGGCCGGAGGAAGCAGAGGTGGAAGAGGATTGAGTGCACCGGAGGATGGAGAGGGAGAGGGAGAGAGGGAGAGGGAGAGGGAGAGGGAGAGGGGAGTGATAAAAAAGACGGAGAAGGGACGAGCACGCAGACAAAAAGCTGAGATCAGTGATCTCTCAACGAGCTATACCTTCCTCCCTGGAAGTAGCAAGTCAGCGGTCCGACGGGAGCAACGGGGAAGGATGCAGAGGTGAGTTCGAGCATGGCAGGATCATAACTTACGGGTTGCTGGCGTCGCTGCTAGAGTCAGAGTCTTGAGAATCGGTCTCGGACGCGTATCCGAACTCGTCGAGCGCTGGCAACGTCAACACCGAGTCAGCACATGGTTCTGATGGGACCGTGACACTCACTGCCGAAATCATCCGGGATCGATAATGCAGATGATGGAACAGTCTTCTTGATCATGGCGTCTTAAATCTTCATCCTAGATGAGAAGGATCAGAGCGAGGTATGCTTTCCTTTGCAAAGCAATTCGCAACGCCAATCAACGGCGTGAGGTACGATCTCGAAAGGTGGCACCCAATGCGTTGCAGTCAACAGAGATCTACACGGTAAACCCGAAAAACGAAATTTATGCCCTGCTAACGATCAAGATGCGCAGAGTTGAGTGCGTCGTCAATCGATTCGAGTATGAAAGCACGGGTTGCAAATTTGAATTCAGGGAACAAGGACGTAACAGAATGCATTCGGATTTCAAACCAATCTCTCAAAGATGATGCAGATCTATGGACTTTGGAAGAAAGCCTCTAAACAACTGAAAGGTGAAGCTACTGACGACCGTGAAAAGCTTGAAAGCCACTAGGTTTCGTCAAGGAGGTCAATAGTCGGACAGAGCCATGGCTCCTCGCTGAACAGAAAAGATCCATAACAACCATCCGCAGCTGCTTGAACTCCTACAGACATCATCTTATCCTCACTCCTCTTGATTCTTTATGTCTCCTCTCCTCTCTTCCCCCTCCCCTCTCTTCTCTCCGCTCCTCAGCATGGTTTTAGCTCATGGTTTTATCCCCCACTGCACTAACTTATCGGTTCCGCCACCCCTACCCCCCACCACCCCCATTATCCGCCCTCCTTCAGTATACTTCACTACCCACCCCTGCTGGTTCTGTCGTGAAAGTCAATATTAGCTGAGTACCCTACCCACCATAGCAAAGTGGCATTAAAGCCCAGGTACTCAGGCCAAGAAATGACTACCCCTCTGTTTACATTGCAAAATACCCCCTTCTGAATGGAAACACTTACCACCCCACCCTTCTTTTTGAGTCTACGGGACCCCATGTAATTATGAAAGACGACCCGGTACCGTACAGTTGAGTGACCCCATACCACCACACTACCCTGACCTTTCTACACCCCTGAATCCCAGGTCAGAAGGGGGGTACAAGTGAGGTCAATAGCACTTTGGTATCTCACATTTTTTTTTTGCCAACTCCAATCCTTTTTTTTTTCCAAAAAAAAACACAATGGACCCCCCTTATTCCCTCCAAATGTACCCCCCACCCGGTCGGGGGGGAGGGGGAACTTCCCGGAAATTGTACCCACCGGATATCCCGGTGTCCCGTGCTACGGTGCCATGTGCCGGCAGTGCCAGTAGTCGGAGTTGCTCGAGGCCCGGCGCGCGCGGCGGCGGCGGGGCCCCGGCGGCCTGGCGTAGCCGGGATGATCACCGGAAGCCTGAGCCTCTGAGTGAGCACTGGCCCAGCCCGGTGCCCGACCCACCGTGCGACACTGAAAAGTACAATTCACTTTCGGACCATGTGCGGAGCCTGGCGGGACCGTAACTGTGACGGACCGGCACGGTGGGGGACCGATGGCGCCCCAGCCTGTACAGTCGGACTGCCGCAGTGCCGCGCGGCCACCGGTTTGCGGCCGGGCCCGGGCCCGCCGGGCCCGGCCGGCCGACTCTCAGCCGCGATGCACTCGGAATCCCGGTAGTCAGGGAATCGCTTTTCTTGGCTCCCAAAATATTTGAAATTATCTGGTACCTTTTGACAATTCACCTCGAAATTAATGGAGGGTTTTAATGAAATCAATGGAATATTGTACGTTACAGATGGAACCGTCAGTCCGCTGTCGGTCTTCCGCTTGAACCATGTCCTTCCCACAGAGCAACTGCATCTGCTCCTCCTCTCCTCTCCTCTCCTCCCTCCCTCCTGCTCCTCCTCCCTCCTCTTCTTCTATTTCGGAACTTCTGTTTCTACTTCTCTCCTCCAGCTTGTACACCTCTCCGTTGTGTTCGGCACACTTTCAATACTTCATTTTAGCATCGGTTTTTTAGATTCATTCGTTTTGCTTGTGGCTCGTGCTGCAATCTGCTGCATTCTAGATGAAGGCATTTGAATTTGTGCATATTTTCACATCAATCTTCTTGCCACATCAATCTTTCTTGTTATCTGTCAACGAGAACTTCATATAATGCAATACCTTGTCGCGTGCGGGCTTGAGTCGCTTCATGGAAATTGCCGTGAGAGTGACGAATCTGCAGAGCCTTTTGGTGACTTGTCCTATGACTGTTATGCATACTCTGATTTTGTACGTTCTTCTTACTGTGGTCGCAGGAGGCATCACAATCGCCCCTGTGCACCATTCGCGGGGCTTGTCAAGGAGGAAGAGGGAGTGATGAACCCTTAGGCTCTTGAGCTTCCTCCTCCCGCGCTGAGGGAAACTTATCCTTGGGGATTGAAGGATACAAGGAAGGCTGAGCAGAGCTGCTATCCCCTTGGTGCAGGTGTTGATCTGTTGTTGAACACTTCACCCGAGCACATACCAGTGTCTACATGCAGAGGTGCACTGTTGACTTGAAAGCGTTGTGAAGAACCTCGATACACTGTGTGCTTGGTAGCACCTGGATCAGAGCCCCTCGAAGATGTTCTCAGCTCATGAGAAGCTCAAAGTGAGGAGCCAGAAGGTCAACCTGGACATCGACCTCGCCCAGAAGCAGGTGTCAGGAAACACCCAGGTAGAAATCCTTCAGAAGAAGATCGACCAGTCCATCACCCTTCACGCTAGACAGCTGCATGTCAAATCGGTTTCTATCAACGGCGTTGCCGCAAGACATCACATGGTGCACAACACCCTGTTGGACAAGATCTGCCCGTCGGCCCATGACAACCACCGGGAGACCCGCGACCTTCTCAACTTCACCATTGCGTACAGGCGGGCGTATGAGAAGGCAGACAAGGGGGAGTTGTACATTGAGATTCCTGCCAATGACCCAGCTGGAAACCCCTTGGTACCCAAAGAGCCAGGTGAGAACGAGACAGGAGCCAACGACGCGTCTATGGGGATCTGGAAGGTGGAAATCAAGTTCATGCTGAGGAATCCTCGGGGAGGCCTTATCTTCTCAGGGGGCCTGCCTGGTGACGTCCCAAGTCACTGCTACACTGACGGGCAGATCGATTCCGCACGGATGTGGTTTCCTTGCTGGGATAGGCTCGATGTCAGCTATCCTCTGGAGGTTCGCGTGTCAGTCCCCGAAGGAAACATCGTGCTGTGCTCTCTGCCGGAGGTGGAGACGAGAGTGAAGAAGGGCAAACTGAGGTCGACGTTCATCAGTCAAGAAGGTTTCAACCTCCCCGTGCGGTCTCTGGCTCTGGCAGCGGGCCCATTCATCCGCCTCCCCGATCCAGGGATGTCCCAAAGAATCGTCCACTACTGCCTCCCACACGTCAACGCAGAGCAGGTAGCTCTTTGATCCAACACTTGGACTTTGTTCGCTGACCAGATTGCATTGCTGCAGAGACTGGCGTTCTCGACTCAGTATGTCTCCCGCAGCGTGGAGCTGCTGGAGCAGATGCTGGACTCAAGGCTCCCCAAAGAGCCCTACAAGCAGGTGTTCGTGTCGAGTCCGCCGCAGGACATCGACTCTCAACCGTCGCTGACTATCGCGTCCTCATCCCTGCTCTTTGACCCGTCCAACCTCTTCCGGACGTTTGAGACTGTCCGCAAGCTCGTGCAGGCTCTGGTCTCCCAGTGGTTCGGGATCCACTCCTGGCTCCGACCTGACACTTGGCAAGACACATGGCTGCTCCTTGGGTTGGGGAGACATGTCACGAATCTGATCATGAAGAAGCACTTTGGCAACGCTTACTACCTGCATCACATCTGGGAAGAAACAGCCTACGTCTGTCAGACCGACGGAGCATCGATGAAACCGCTGTTTCACGACGCTCCCTCTCACCCCTCGGAGCACCTGGGCGACTTCAAGGCGAGGAAAGCAGCGCTGGTGATACGGCTGATAGAGAAGAGGATCGGGGAGGCGAATTTGAAGAAGGTGCTGGGCCACCTGCTGTCGAAGACGTGTCGAGGGCCGGAGTACATCAGCACGAAGAGGTTCTTCAAAGCGGTCAGGAAGTGTTCAGGGCAAGACATCGAGTCGCATCTGTCTCACTGGATCTTCGGGACTGGGTGCACAACGATGACCGCGAACTTCAACCTGAACAAGAAGAGGAATCAGATCGAGATAGCAATGAGGGTGAGCAACGAGCAGCTCAGGGCTAAGTGCAAGCAGGACAGCGTCACCATCCGAGTGCACGAGACTGAAGTGACGTACGACCGGACGGTGAAGATGGAGGCCGACGAGTTCCTTGTGGACGAGTTTGCGCACCAGTCGAAGTGGAAGAAGACGAAGAAGGAGAAGGAGGCAGAGCGAGAGGGGGAGGACGAGATCATCGCAGAGATCGTGGAGAGAAACGACACGCCTCTCCTCTGGATTCGAGTGGACCCAGAGCTGCACTGGATACGCAAAGTCGAGATGACGCAGACGGACTACATGTGGATCTATCAGCTGTACAAGGACCGTGACGTCGTGGCGCAGATGGAGGCGATCGATGGGCTGTGCAAGCAGTTCATCAAGCCGATAGTGGGGCCCGACGGGGAGATCCAGCAGACGAGCGAGTACATCAAGTCGTTGGTAGTCCGCGTACTCGTGGCGACGCTAGAGAACTCTCAGCTGTTCCATCAAGTGCGCGGCCATGCTGCCCTCGGTCTGGCAAGGCTCCGGGTAGTCGACCCGGAGAGCGGGTCCCTGAACTTCATGGGGGTGGAGCAGCTCCTGGCGTGCGCGAAGAAGTTTTGCTTCGAAGGTGACACGGAGCTCCCGAGACTGAACAACTTCTCGAAGCTCGACGACTACTTCGTCATCCTCCAGGTAGAAACGTTGCTGTGCTGTCCTCCACAGGCCCTGACAGGCTGACTGCAGGTGATCAACGCGCTAGCTGTGTGCCGGGAGGAGGCTGGTGGGACGTCGGAAGGGTCTGAGGCGACGAAGGAAGTCTTTACCACCCTCTACCTCCTCCTCAAGTACAACGACAACTCGCAGAACGAGCTCTCGGACGGGGAGTACTTGGCCACTCTTATCCTCGCCCTCGGCCGCGCCACCTCCTCGCTGGAGGGTGAGGCCGACAAGACCCAGAAGATCGTGGCGAGGTACCTGCAGAGAGACCAGCTGATTCCTTCCTACTGCCATGCTGTGACCTGCTCGTCCCTGTTCACTCTGCAGAGGCTGCAGGCCCGGGGCCTGATCCCCATGGACCTCGAGATCTTCGAGACTCACTGCAAGGTGGGGCACAGCATCGACGTCAGGTGCGCAGCCTTCCGCTGCCTCGTCCGGCTCTCTCAGTTCAAACCGTCGCTGATCAAGCTGATCTTCACGGTCCTCCACCTCGAAAGGTCCTACCGTATCCGGAGCTGCGTTCTAGCCGAGTATCTTGACGGGCCTGCTTTGAAGATCAAGGCGAGCAGGGCGCTGGTAGCGAGCAACAGGGACAACCTTGCGATAGTCGATGAGATCTGGAAGTTCCTGAATGAGTCTACAGCGTACGATGTCAGTTGCCGGTTCCAGACAGCGAGCTTGTACTTCGTCCTGTTCGGCAACGGGATCCCCGAATGCCTCGTAGACAATCCATGGGCTGCTGACCTGAAGCCGATCCCTGGGCAGAAGGAAGTTGACTCGTTGCGATGGGACCCCAAGAAGCAGGAGCTCAAGGTCAAGTTTCAGATCGGCAGGAAGGACGCCAAGGTTGCCAAACGGCATCACTACCAGCAGGAGGAGCCTGTTCCCAGCCCCTTCCAGCCGTCCCCTCCAAAGAAGGCCAAGGGCATGCAGGCTCATCAGATGTCTGAGGAAGCCATGCGGCTCGCTCTGGAGAAGAAGGCTCGGAAAGAGCAGGAGGAGCGGGAGATGCGCGCGCGCGAGCGCGAGATCGGCCGTAACGTCCGCGAGCAGTACGAAGGGGGAGAGGTCGCCCAGTCGCCGTCTGCTCCCCGCGTGGTGTTCAACTGGCCTCCTGGCCGGGCAGTGACGAAGACCAAGTACGTCAGGTTCAACTTCGTGTGCACTCCTCCTCCCGGCCGCGGCTCCACTCCGGAGCCTCCCGAGGGCTGGGCGAAGCCCATAGTGAGGAAGCCGAGCTCGGGCAAGAAGGAAAAACCGCCCAAGATTCGCTCTTCCGACGCTCCCAGGGTGCATCTCGATCACTATGCTGCCCCGGCGCTGGCCTCGGCCCCGGCTGCTGCGTCCTCTGCCGCTGCCCCAGCCCCTGCTGCTCACGATCAAGTGCCCGTGAGGCAAGCAGAAGCTCTTCCTGCTGGTGCTCTAGATATGTCGGCAGAGGAGAAGGCGAACGCAGGCCAGAAGCTGATCAAGCCGATGCCAATCTTCAACTGGCCTCCTGGAAACGTTCCCAAGCGCAAGCACGTGAAGTTTCACTTCTTCTGCTCTCCTCCCGCGGGGTATCAGGGCAATGCCGTGTACGACGAGGTTGCACACCTTGACTCGCTGTTCCACGTCAACAGCATCTTGGAGGTGTTCACCTGCGACGACTGGTACAACGCCAAGATCACCCGCATCGACGTGTGCAGGGCGCTGGGGAGGGCGAAGATCGAGGTGCTGTATGAGCAGGAGCCCGGGGTGTTCGGGTGCCAACCCAACGACGAGACGAGCTTCGAGATCTGCAAGAACATCGATGGAGTCTGGAGCAGCAGGGTGATGAGGCGACTGGTTACCGAGGAAGCTCGAGCCGCCCCCCTCCCTCCTCAGGCCCCCCAGGCCTCACAGGAGGTCAAGCCCCCGACAGAGGCACACGCGGACAAAGCGGTGGCTGAAGTTGCCAAGGATGCTTCCAGCTCTCCCCTGAGCAAGGCTATGGAGGAGAAAGAGGGAGAGAGGGAGAGGGAGAGGGAGAGGGAGAGGGAGAGGGAGAGGGAGAGGGAGAGGGAGAGGGTGGATAAAGAGAAGGAGAGAATGGATAAGGAGAGGGACAAGGAAAAAGAAAAAGCGAAAGAGAAGGAGAAGGAGGACAAGGACAAGGAGAAGAAGGAAAAGGAGGAGAGAAAGGAAAAGGAGAAGCCCAGTCAGGAGTGTTCGCTCGTCAAGGGACTCGTGGAGTCTCTCGGCAAGGGAGACGTCGCAAACCCTTCAGCAACTCCTGAGGCTTCTTCCCAGCTCGCATCCCCCCAGTCCGTTGCCGAGGTCCACATCCCGAAGCCCAGCGAGTGGACGTCGAACAACCCCTGCCTCTGGCCCCTCTACTACACCCGGCTGGAGGGCATCAAGATCGTGTTCCATCGGGTGAAAGACTACCCCCACGAGTACAAGAGGGTCAGCGTCAAGTTGGACCGCAAGGAGGACTGGAGAAGGGATCTTTCCCAGGAGGCCCTCAGCAGGTCCGGCCAGTCTCCGATGCAGCAGGACGGCGACAGCTCTCGGTCCACCCCGACCATCACCCCCTCGCCTTCTTCGCTTGTCCCTTCCCCCAGCCTCTCCACGATCTCTCTCCCTCCGAAGCTCGTCGGCTCGCACAACCAGATCGACGAGGCAGCGTTCCAAGGGATGCCGGCGCCGCAGCCCGACCGCCCTGCCTCTAGTGCGAATGTAGGGGAGAGGAGGCAGGAGAAGACGCAGGAGCAGGGGGAGAAAGAGGACAGGAAGGCTGGGAAGGGACTTTCTGAGAACGGAGAGCATCGAGAGAGCTCAAAGACTGAAGTGGAAGGGAAGGAAAAGAACCGCAAGGATGGCGAAGCGGCGGGGCGTTCGGTCTCACCGAGTGATGCTGGAAGGAGCAGCGCGACCCCTGGCGCACGAAAGGAGGAGAAGCGTTCGAGCCCCAGTGGTGGACAGGAAGAGAAGCAGGAGAAGGAGAAGGAGAAGGAGAAGGAGAGGGAAAGAGTATCTCCCAGCCTGAGTGATCAGGGGCAGGACCCGGAGGAGATGAGGATGAAGATCATTCACGCGCTCGCTCTCAAGGACATGACAAGGAACGAACTGGCTGACTTCCTCCAGCTGGAGGGCAAGATCTCCAAGAGCCTCTGCAAGAGGGTCGCGACCCCCGTGCAGGGCGACGGGGAGGCCAGGAAGTACAGGCTGAGGGACGAGTGCTGGGAGTCAGTCCGGGCTGACGGGTGCGGGTTCTACAGCGAAGACGACAGGAGGGCCGTGGAGGTGAAGCTGTCGGAGAGGAGGGCGACGACTGCGGGCCTGCTGGCGGCCGCCCAGACGTCGTTGGGGGACAAGGAGGAGGCGAGCGAGGGAGCGAGCGCGATTGCCAAGGGAGGAGGGCCAGGCTCCGCCTTCAAGCCTCCCAAGGGTGACGCGGCAAAGGTCAAGAAGGAGCCACCAGCTGGGGAGGGCGCAGCAGATCGCTCGAAGAGTCCAGCTGGGGTATCAGGCGGGGAGCGAACTAAGAGTCCAGCTGGGGTGTCAGGTGGGGAGCGAACTAAGAGTCCAGCTGGGGTATCAGGCGGGGAGCGAACTAAGAGTCCAGCTGGGGTGTCAGGTGGGGAGCGAACTAAGAGTCCAGCTGGGGTATCAGGTGGGGAGCGAACTAAGAGTCCTGCTGAGGTGTCAGGTGGGGAGCGAACTAAGAGTCCAGCTGGGGTATCAGGTGGGAAGGGGCTGGGGAAGGAGGCGGGCAAGGTGAGCCCGTCGAGCATCGGGGCGGACAAGCTGGCGAGCATCGCCATCCCGAAGAAGAAGAAGAGTGAGGAGGGAGAGAGCAGGTCCGTCACTCCTGCGTCCTCGAGCCCTGGGGAGAAGAAGAAGCGCTCGCCCGATGAAGGCTCCGGAGCTGTTGAGGCCCAGCTGAGCAAGAGGACGAAGGGAACAGACGGGGAGGAGAAGGCAGCGAGCAGGAAGAGGGACGGGGAGCAGGAGGTGGGCGAGGGCAAGGTCTGCTCCTCTTTTCCTGCTGGGTGTTGAGCTGATATTTTCGATTTTTCTTTCTGCCCTTCTCTGCCATATTCCCTTCCCTTCCCTTCCCTCTGCCTCCCCCCTCTCCCTCCTTCTGTCTCTCGCTCCCTCTCCTCCTCCTTGTTGTGTTGCCTGCTCTATCAGGTGGGTCAGAGCGAGCCCAGCGAAACTTTGCCACAAGTCCGAGTGAAGGAGGAGAAATCTTCTCCCTCCTCCCCCCCCTGCCCTTCTCCTCCTCGGATTCTCGCCGGGAACTCCAACTTAGAGGTCGAGCTTGTGATGTTGACCGTATGTGAGAGTGACATGAACGAGGCAGACAAGCAGGGCCAGGCAGGAGGATGAAGACGAGAAGGAGAGGAAGGAGAGAGAGAGGAAGGAGAAGGAGAGGGTGAGGGAGGAGGAAGTCAAACGCAAGGAGAAACAGTCGGATCGAGGAAAGGAAGCGACTGAGAGGGAGGAGGGGAAAGCACCAGAAGATCCTCCGAGCTTCAAGGCAAAGGAAGTCAAAACAGAGGACAGAGACAATCTGCCAGACAAAGGCGAGCAAGTCAAGGAGGGCAGGCGAGACAAGCCGGAGCAGCAAGAGAGGAAGAGGGATTCTGTCAGCCCCTCGAATCCTGAGCCCTCCATGGGCGATCGGGAAAAGTCCCGCCCTCAGTCGCGGGAGGGAGAGGCGGGTGGGAAGAGGAAGAGGGAGAAGTCAGACGAGCCAGAGGCCAAGGAGAAGAAGAGGAAGAGAGAGGAAGGAGGGTCCAAGTCCAAGAGCCCCGACAAGAGCGGAGACGCCAAAGAGACTTGTGGCCAACAGCCTGCGGACAGCAGCGGAAGGTGGAGACGAGATCATGGCTGTGCTTCCTTTTCTCCGTCCTCCGTCCTCGCATCACGCTCCTCCCTTTCTGTCCCCCCTTCCTCACCCCCTTCTTTGACACATCCTCCCAACGTATCACGTTCTCTTGCTCCTCAATGTCGACTCTACTCCCCTCGCTCGCCTGCCTGCCTGCCTGCCTGCCTGCCTCCTCCTCCTCCTCCTCCTCCTCCTCCCGTCCTCCCCGCCTCTCCTTCACCCACCACCTCTTGCTGACTAGCACTGCAGTGTTTCCCATCTCAGAATCCCCTCCCCGGAGCTCCCGGACTCGGACTGATCTTGTAGATACGAGAGCCCCCAACTTGTATATGTTAAATCAAAACTTAATCTCCTCATCTCGTTAACGCCTCCCACCCCCGTCGACCCTGGACCCAGTTCGCTGCCCTACTTCATACCCCTCCTCCCTCCTTCACCCCCGCCTCTCTCGCTCTCAAACCCTCCTCGTCCCTCCTCCCTTAGCTCACATCTCCTTCTTGGCGCAGTACCTTCAACTCCCTCAGTCTCTCTCCGCACGACATCAGTCCCCTTACCCGAACGTCTGCGCACAGAGGGAAGCAGCCGCCTTTCTCTCCTCCTCCTCCACCTTCTCCTCGTTCGCGTGCTGCGTCAAGACCTCCAGCATCTTCTCCTCATCAGCCTCCCACATGTCCATGCAGACTTCGTGGTAGACGTCCGGGAGGTCATCGTGCCGGGTGTAGCTGCAGCCATGGCCGTGAGCTGATGGGCCGGAGGAGGAAGGAGGAAGAAGAGAGGAGGGAGGAGGGAGGAGGGAAGAGGGAGGAGGGCTGTCTGCGGGCGGGCGTTGGGGGGGGGGGACGGGGGGTGTGGGGCGGGGGGGGGAGGGGGTGGTAGGGACGTCTCGACGCACAAGTTCTCGAGGTGGCATATTGATGGTTGATGCCGTCACGCTCAAATCAGGTACTTAGTCCACCTCTTTGGAACCATGAAGGTCGTGTTGATGCAGGATCAGGCTTCCCTCAACTCCTGTGTCATTCAACACACTTCGTTTGTGACTGGGTGAAGAGTTCCGAGTCCGAAAAGAGTCACGTCATACATCACTTCGAAACCCACGTTCTCCAATCGCAGTTTGTACCCGCTACTTGGCAAAGGTTCCCTCAACCTCGCCCTGATGTATTTGGAAGGGTCCAAATCGGATGGACATCAGGTCCTGCCCGATGTTGCTCAACCTGTAGG